AAAAAAAAAAAAAAAAAAAAAAAAAAGATAGTTCCATATTATTCGTTTTCCTTAGTGTTTTCTAGAATAATGCTTAAGCCACATAGCCAACCCTCTGTCCCTTTGTAAAGGTTCCTGTTTATTATATAATAAGTTACCCTTTTGGAATGCAGGTTTAACAGTCTCTGCCCAAGACCGTTTTCTGATAATGGCTGCAGAAATGGAACAGTCATCTGGCACAGGCCCAGCAGAATTGACTCAGTTCTGGAAAGAGGTTCCCAGAAGCAAAGTAATGGAGCATAGGTATGCTTTTCCCTTACAGGCTCTCAAATTGCAATGGGAAAAATCCCAAAGAGGAATGCACCTACATGGGCTAAGCAGGCATCCCTTCCCCCTGGCATGTGGCAGACATCTAGGCTTACACTGTGGGCCCCAACCCCTACAAGGCTCGGATATAAGACCTGGAGTTTCTCTAGGAGATTGCTAATGGCAGAGAACTGCTTGCTGGCCAATGCAAGAATCTGGATGTGTCAAAATTACAAACGGATTTTCTCTTAACAGCAGTTACCTTTGTAGGAATGCTCACCTTATGTACTAGAATGTTTGCTGCAGTGAAACACTGTTTCACAAAAATTGTCTGTAGTAGTGGAAAATGGAAAAGAACCTAAATGTTCATCAGTAAAGTAATGGTGAAATGCATTTGAGAAGTACTCTGAAGCCATTCAAGAGGGTAGTACGTCTGTCTGTTCTGATACAGGAAAAAGACATCTGTGACGCACTATTAGGAAAAGAAAAAAAGCTACTCACAGAGAAATATGTATGACAGTTATCCTATTTAAGAGAAAACCCTGTGACTATACAGGCATATACATGTGTGTCTGTGCATGTGTGCAAAAAAGATGTATAGAAAAGAGGAGGACAGTAGAGAAGAAGGTTGCTTGTGGGGGTTCAGAGTGTGCCCAGTTTTGCTCCCCCAGGGATGCTTGTCAACACCTGGAGACATTGTTGGTTGTCATAACCGGACAGTGGGGTGCTGTGGGCATCTAGTAGGTAGAGACCAGGGATGCTACTCAATATCCCACCGTGCACAAGACAGCACCCCATGACGAAGAATGATCCAGCCCAAAATGTCAGTGGTGCCAAGATTGAGAAAGCTCAGTTGAGGGTAGTTAAGGATGGCCACACTGATGACATCTGAGAGTAGAGGCCACATAGATAACGGGGGAAAGAGCTTTGCAGGTAGAGGGAACCATAAATGAAAAAGATGTGTGCTTGGCCTGGGTGAGGAACAGCAAGGAGGTCAGTGTAACCTGAATCCAGTAAGGGATGCCAGATCATTGCCATAGTGAGAACTTGTGATTTTGAGAGGAGAAACCATTAGTTGGTGCTGAGCAGCGCCATGAGGTGATCGGCTTGTTTTTTTTTAAAAAAGGATTACTCTGGGAGGCTTTGTAGAAAAATAGACTGTGGGCAGACATAGGTGAAAGAGTGATACTGAGTTAACAACACTTGGACTAGCGCTGGCAGATAGCAAGTTGTATTTAAGTGTGTTAGTCTCCTTTATTGATTTAGTCACTAAAACAAACAACCCTAGGTCATAGGTAGTTATTTTTCCCTTTTTATAGACGAGAAGCTGAGAAACCTAGTAAGGGTTGTGGTTGAGTTGAATCTTCAAGTAAGGAGTTGAAAGAATACAGATGTGGCTGGAACAGAGTGTGAGAGGATCCACAGTAAGAAAGCATGTTGGAGGCAGACAGGGCCCAGAGGAGCAGCTTGGGCACCATTGTAAAACCACTGGGAGAACGTCGACCTGCTCTGAAATGGCTTGGACAAGATTACCCTTTGCGGGCAATTCAGAGAGGGTAGGAGAACAAGAATAAGAATGGGCCTGGGAAGACGAGCTTTATTTCCTCTAGGCTAGGTCTTACTTGTACCCAGCGAGAGAGGGTGAAAGTTAGACACAGCTCAGAGGAATATTTAGTAGCCAAATGAAGGAGAACAACACAGGGGGTCAGGAGGGAAAGCAGTAGGTGAGCAGTGTCAGTAGGGCCCAGGTTAGAGTGTGTTTCACAAAGGAGGAACAAAACGTGCTGCCATTGTCAAGTCAAGGATGAGGTGTGAGAGGTGGCCGTTGCTGGTGACGTGATGGAGGTAACTGATGACCTCACGGGGAACACTGTGAGTTGGTAGGAGCCGGATGCCAAAGAAACAGAGGTAGTAAGACTTCTGGAGGTTGGGCTTGTTGGGGAGGGACCAGGGTCATAGTTGGAAGGAGGACTGTGTTGTTGAGAAGGGGCTGTTCGGGATTTTTGTAATGGGAGATATTTGAGCGTTGTTTAAAACCATAGTAAGGACCATTTCCGAGGGAGAGGCTGACCTTACAAAATAAACCATTGACGGTGAAATTCCTGAGAAAGTTAGAAGGAACAGAAGCTAAAGCCGAGGTAGGAAGGAACACGGATCTAGATAAGGCTCATTGTGACAGTTGTGACATGTTTTTAGATGGGGGAGATTTTGTGATGACGGCCGTTCTGACCGGTGTGAGGTGACACCTCATTGTAGTTTTGAGTTGCGTTTCTCTGATGGTTAGTGATGTTGCGCATCCTTTCATGTGTTAGTTGGCAGTCTGTATATCTTCTTTGGGGAAATGTCTATTTAGGTCTTCTGCCCATTTTTGGATCGGGTTGTTTGTTTTTTTGATATGGAGCTGCATGAGCTGCTTGTAAATTTTGGAGGTTAATCCTTTGTCAGTTGCTTCGTTTGCAAATATTTTCTCCCATTCTGAGGGTTGTCTTTTGGCCTTGTTTATGGTTTCCTTTGCTGTGCAAAAGCTTTGAAGTTTCATTAGGTCCCATTTGTTTATTGTTGTTTTTATTTGCATTTCTCTAGGAGGTGGGTCACAAAGGACCTTGTTGTGATTTATGTCATAGAGTGTTCTGCCTATGTCTTCCTCTAAGAGTTTGATAGTGTCTGGCCTTACATTTAGGTCTCTGATCCACTTGGAGTTTACTTTTGTGTATGGTGTTAGGGAGTGTTCTAATTTCATTCTTTTACATGGAGCTGTCCAGTTTTCCCAGCACCGCTTATTGAAGAGGCTGTCTTGTCTCCATTGTATATCCTTGCCTCCTTTATCAAAAATAAGTTGACCATAGGTGCGTGGATGCATCTCTGGGCGTTCTCTCCTGTTCCGTTGATCCATATTTCTCTTTTTGTGCCAGTACCATACTGTCTGTCTGGATTTAACCCAGCTTTTATTTACCAAAGATTATCCCAGATCATGTGAACTTGAAAAAAATTGGGGGTTAGTTTCTCTATTGCTGAGAGTTTTAGGAGTATTCAATTTGAAAAGCACCTATTTTTCCTTAAGCCAGTTGAATAGTTTTTATGAATTAATCTTGGCAGTACCATTCAGAGGTAGAAAAATATCACACGTTTATAACATACATATATACACATATGTAAACATACAGATGCCAACCAGAGACCTTATAGCTTTGGTTCCAAAATTTTAGCCATGAATTAGGTACAGTGACACAAAACTCACTAGCTTATAAAAGAACAGTTGGATCCGAACCGTGGTTCTGGCAGTTGGAATAAGTTTACCTGCACAGAGTGCTAAAGCTTTTTTTTTTTTTTTTTTTTTTTTTTTAAAAACTAATATTTGTGGGGGTTTTTTGTTTTGCTTTTTTCATTTGCCCAATTTCAAAAATAGCTCCTTTTCTTTAACTTCTGATGAGCTTCGTTTTCCTAAAGTTCGCATTTCTATGAGCTGGCTATCAGGTCCTATAGAAACGTGGGGTAGAAAATTTACACCTCAAAGGGACAGAGAAAGTAAGGTTTTTTTCCTGGAGTTTTGGGGGTACTTCACCTATTATCAGAGGTTTAGAGTAATCACCATTTAAATGTTTTCTCACTTTTCTAAAAGTTTTTCTAAGTACAGAACAGTTCTGTTTCCAGTGACCTGGTCTTTTATAATACCTACAAGTATTCTGAGATAAATAGGGCAGGTTTTGGAATGGTTAGAATAGGTGAACTTTGAATTGCTTCTAGAGCCGAATTTCTGGTTTTGTGAAGATTTGCAAGACAAAGACAGTTGCTTTTAAATCCTCAAAAGCTTGGATTGCAGCCTGAATGGCATCAAGCGACTGACCCGCCATCCAACTACGTTTTCTTCAGTTTGCTTTATATCAGGGAGATTTCCAGTTAAGACGGAAAGCAAATGATTTCCATGTTCTGGAGTTTCAGGGCTTAATGCAGCAGGCCTGTACAAAGTCTGTATAAAGCGTTCAACAAAGGCCTTTGAATGCTCTCCTTTTTCTGAGTGCACAGTTCAACCTTGGACCAATTCACCTTAGGGGAAAAAGCCCCTACTTCTGTCAGCCCCTGAATATTGGCCTTCCGCTGATCCATTTCCTGATAATTTGGGAGGAATTCTGGTCATATGCTGCCCGTGTGAGTGTGCCTGTTTTCCCTAGGGGGGCCATCGGGCTTGTCTGATAACTACAGTATAATCATGGGTGTGAAGAACACCCCTTAGGAGCCAGTCAAGGTCCCTGTGAGTGGGGAACTGAATGGCCACTAGTCTTTTTAACTCTTCTCTCAATTTGGTAGGTATCTTCTGAAAGTGGAGGTAAAAAGAGCTTTGTAATGTCATCTTACTAAGGACGTCCCTAAGGCTGGCCCCCATACTCCTTCACGTCCTCCTTTCAAGTTGGTCTTTGCTTAGATACCAAGAAAGACAATTGTTTAGGCTGAGAGCTCTCTAAAAAATGTTTAAAACACAGAAGTTTTTCCAATTCAAAAGATCCATCGTTTGGCCATTGATGAGTAGTAGGATCTTATATTAACCTCAATAGCAACTCAAACTTATAAGCCTTTTTATGGCTTAACCATGGATGCAAGAGGCATCCCGAAAGGGGGTGCAAAAGATGCAGCCCTCACACGATTCAGAAAGCTCACTGCCAGAGTTAGCATAAGAAAGCAAAGACCTTCATTGTCACACGTGGTTAGAATGGGGTCGTGAAAAGTGTCTCGAGTTTCGCACAGGAATGATATGCCTTCAGTTACAAACCTGCGACACCGGGTAAGCACTACTGGAACAGGACTTTTCCAGCCCTAAATAAGACAAGAAGGTGGAGACAACACGGGGCCCTTATGACAGACGCCCACGAGAGCCGGTAGCATCAGAGAATGCTGCTTATCACTTAGTGTCTCGGATCCCCAGCCTATTCAGGTGGTCGCCAGATGCATGCAGACACATGCATCGTCCAGCTGGCAGAGACCAGAGAGACTATTCTCACTGGTCATAAAGCCAAGCTCTCAAGACAGAATAAAACAAAAGGAAAATCTCATCCGTCCTATGGTTCTCCTTATGACAACACAAGAGACAGAGATAAAAGAAAACAATGACCATCTGTGGGAGGAAGGAGGACCAGTAGAAGACAAAAATACTCATAACAAAAATCTATACCCAAGTCACAATACCTAAGGAACTGGCTGACGCAAATACTTTCTCCTGCTAATCTCAATTTGGAAAAGAAGGGACAAGGTGAAATTTTTACCTTCCTCTCTCAACTGCACCAGACTGAGATCCAGGAGAGCTGACTTTGGTAAGAATTCTTACCCTTCTCGGGCTTCTGCCCGTTTTCCAGAATCCCATCTGCAGGCTCCCAAGTGAGTATGGTATCTCAGCAGCTCCCAGGGTAGGTTGCCAAACTGTAGGAGAGGAAAAATAATTTTTCCTTTATTTTTCTACGTTCTTGGCTAAGATCCCCATCCCACCCCCGCCATACCCCCGTAATCATAGACAGGTGAACAGAAGAAAACAGGAAGAAAACAGAAGTTTACTAGCATGTATACCTCCCGTATACTTGAGAGACCCAGGAAAACAGTAAAACTTCCCGCAATGGCCCATGACACCACCTTAAATACCACCTCCAGCCAAAGAGAAAAGATGATGTTGGGGGTGAGGGAGCCAGTTCTGGGAGGATGGTGGGAAAAGCACAACATACACGGCTAAGGTTGTCCTGCGGGTTTGAGTCTCTGCCTTCTCCACTGGTAAGAGTCTCGAGAGATACAAAGTCATCCTCCTGTACCTGGCAGAGAGGGAGACACCCTTACAAATGGAGATTTCCCTTGTAACTGTGCGTGTCTCCCAAAAATGTAACTTCTATTCACTTTTCAGAGCTTTTACTGATAAGTGAAAAAGCTTTCCACTTTTGTCTGCTTTTCCTTAAAAAGTAACCAGCTCAAGATCAACCTTGTGCCCCAGAGGCATGTTTTGGGGTGGCAAATTCTGCTCCCCTTCAAAGATAAACACACGTTGAGCTAGCTGCTCCCTTAGGCATATCTGGGGAAAGGAATGAGTACTTTTCACCTCTGTCACATACACTTCTGTGTTTAACTGTTTTCATTTTACACTTTACTTTTCAAAAATTCATGAAAAACTTTAAGAAGTTCTGTTTCCTTTGTACCTTCATAGGTTAAGATGCCATATTGTTGACAGCATTAAGCCAACCACTCTTACATTAAAACACCATGCCTTTAACACGTCAGATAAAACCAGTGAAGATCTCTATCTACAGGTAAGTGTTCTTTCTTCCTAACTATAAGTCTTTAATGTTAATCAATATTAGAAATCCATTTTTTCCCCACTGACATAAAGCAAACCTTTGGCATAGCCACGACAGAAATGCTCTCTTCTTTGTGAAGGGAAGCCAGATCAGAAATGGTAAGTGGTGAGTTACTTTTGGAGATCTTCTAACTAACTTTCTGAAAGCTCTGGCTATTTCCATTTGGACTAGGGACCTTATAGCAAAGCGCATGGTATTTTGGGGGGGGGGGTATCGAAGAACTTGGTCTCATGGAAAAGGTACCATGTGGTGCATTTAAATTTGAAAAAGGTGGAGGGGCTCTCTTTCTGAATAGCTGGTTTCAGTACCTCCAGGAAATGATTGCTTTGTTCCTTTCTCAACTGGAGAATTAGACCTTTTCAGAATGAGAACAGATACACATCCGTTCAGCAACCAAAGTGCATTCCCAGCTCCCAGCCTTTCAGAGTAGATGGACTCTATCCCATAAATGTTTGTGGGATTTCTAACAAACAAACATTCCTGTTTGTCATGCACATGATTACTGTACTGTTTCACTGATACAAACCTTTCGTCCTTTTCTGCCCTCTTTAGCTCAGTCGTTTACTAGAAAGCAATAGGAAGCTTGAAGACCAAGTTCAGCGTTGTATCTGGTTCCAGCAATGGCTGCTTTCCTTAACGGTGGTCTTGCTTGCTTTTGTCATCTCTCTCTTCTATTTGTTGTACAGTTAAAGAAGTGGTGCTCGGTAGGAAACATGGCTTTTCCGTTCATTAGTTGGAAAAAGTACCACCCAGAACTTCTCCACCGTGCTGAAAGTGTCACACATCTGTGCTTCCTTCCTCCAAGGAAATGTACGGCATTTGGCGGGGGGCGGGGG